CTGGTTGATCCAAAACGCCCCAGACCTTTACCCGGATCTCGTTAAAGGTTCTATTTTGCACCCAAACCCTAATTTCTTGTGTTCAGTTTTAATCACCTCTTATTTTCTTATCTCTTACATGTTTTCTTATCTCTTCACCCCCCACCACAAAAAAAGAAGAAGAAGAAGAAGAAACTCTGAAAAATCGACCTAGGTGGCGCCTAGGCGCTAGGCGGCTCCTAGTCGGTCCTAGGCGGTAGGCGGGAGAACACCTCTTATTTTCTTATGATTGCTCTGTTTTGTTTTCTTCACTTGCTATATTTAATAAATTTGTCATCTTTTTTGTTAATAATTTCGCAAGTTGGCAGCCAAGTTGAAGCATGAAGAATTGTCTAGAAGGTAAAACAAGGCGGTGGAATGGAGAGCAAAGTCGGCAACACATAACTATAAATAGGCATGAAGCCATGCATTGTATACAATAAAGAAGTGAAGTGTGTGTCAACTAGAAGAGTGAGCTATAGAGCTAAGGAGTCATTGTGAGAAGTGTGAGTGAAGTGAGAAAGAGTGTTTGTAAGAGTTAGTCTTTCCTTTGAGAGTTGTTTGTTGTAATATTTTGTGAGTCTAATACAAGTAAATTGTTTACTTGTTTTGTCTCCAACAAGTCTATCTTAGAGTTGTGTACTCTAAAATTTGCTCAACATTATACACATCAGCTTGCCATTAGTATGAGCTCTGCAGTCAAAATTAACTCATTTTATTGTGACTGATCTTTTCAATTAACTTGACAAGTTTTGATAAGAGCTTGTTCAGTATGTGACAGTAAATATTTTGTACACAAGTTTTTTCTTAAACCTTTGTTCAGACTAGTAGGAATTGTTACAGAAGAAGTTGTCTGCTCAAGTTTTCATTTTGATCAATTTCATAGACACATTACAGAGGTATCAAATGTCAATGTTTAGCCGTAGGGTTCCGTTTGGTTGTGGTTTTTGTGAGTTTTGTTTTGGACTGGTTGAGCATTACAGAGGTATCTCTCTCTCTCTCTAAGTTATATATAGCCAGTTTTATCGTTTCTTTATATTTGTGTGGCCGTATAGTTTGGATTTTCCTGGTATTGTCAAGCATATGGCTAGTGAACCATATTGAAGGTTATTGTGAGTTGTTCTACTGTTATGAAAAATCAAGCTTTGAATAGAGTTGTCATGAGCGTGCCTAAATTGGGTTCTATGTAGATTATGTTCTGTGAAGTCTTGTTAGATTTGAGAGAGTCTAAGAAGGAAACATGACAGTGCATACCTTACAGCCCGTATTGAATTGCAGAATGAGATATGCTACAAGAAGGTTTCTTTTTCCTTGGGCTATCCTTTTTATAATGCATGCATTAGAATGATTATTTAACTGATTGATACTTTTTTCTGCCAGGTTTTTGAATCATTCAGGCAATGGTTTTTGAAGGGACACAACAAAAACAGCTCAGAAATTGGTATACCTTTATATTCCATCTTACTTTAAACAAAAAATTGGAAAAATCGAGTATAGCTGCGCGGCTATACTATTTCTTTTTAAAACATTTAAAAACCGAGTATAGCCGCGCGGCTATACTATTTCTTTTTTAAAAATCAGGAACAATGAGTATAGCCGAGCGGCTGTACTATTTCTTTTAAAAAATTAGGAAAAGACCGAGTCGGCTATACTATGCCTTTCATAAAATTAAAAAAACCTAGTATAGCCGCCCGCCTATACTATCTCTTTTACTCTCGTGAACTTCGGAAGTGTAAACGACGACGTTTGGGTGTTGTAACTGGAAAGGGCTGCGATTGTGGCAGAACCGGTTCAGAGTTGAGACGAATCAGAACGACGGCTCTGTTGTACCTTACCGTGGAAAGTAAGAGCTCCGTCGGTTCTGGGTTTGAAAATCCTGGTTAATTTTGAGGTAATTCTTAATATTCGTATTTTGTAACCCTGATTTTCAACAATTTCTGGGGCGTGAGGTTTTCTTGGCTCCGCTAATAGGGTTTGGCTCAAACTTTCATTGTACTGTCAATCTTTTTTGTAATTTAATGAAGTTAAAAATTGAAAATTAGAATTGGAGGTTCATATATTCCACTGACATTGCCGAAGAAGACGTAGTAATCTTTCTCGGCGTCTGTCAATTTTGTCAATTTAAGCTATGTTGCTTGAATTTAATTCTAGACACCTCCTTCGGATCACCATTCTCAATTTCACTCACCACTTTCAAAGTGTTTAATGAAACCAAGATTGGTATCCGTTTGTGTGTTTGGTTGATTATTGGTATCCATTTATTATGTTATTGGATTTACAAGTACCTGTCATCTAAAATGATCTCTTTCCTTGAGACTAGTGTGAAGTGAAGTATTTGGCATCACTGTGTCAGCATGAATGCTGTACACAGGCACTCGTATTGCTTCTAGGAAAATCTAAATTTTACTATGTTCTGATGACCTGTATTTGGCATCTGTTTAAGTTTTAAACTTGTGCAGATGTTTAAGCCTAGGCTTTTCCTTCTGGGGTTGGTTAGTTCTTATGGGGAAAATGGGATGTCATACATGGACATTTTGTTTAGGACTTCCATATCAATATTTGTCTGAGTTTGTCATCTCATGTTTTGCAAGTGCGTATTGATTTCTCCATTCAGTTGGGTTGTATTTGGAATGATGTAGATATCGCTAGATTATGGGGTGCTTCATATCTTATTGATAGTTTTTGGGGTTCTATTCACTTGGTTTTCTGGTGCCCTCTGATGCTCATGTGTTCTTAGTGCTTTGTGTGGATGAAGATAAGTGAGTTCCATTGACCCGGCTCTACTCTGTTTCTTGCTGTTCCTGAAATTCATCCCTCTTAATTGTGCAATCATTTCTCTCGTTTAATGCAGTGTCGGTGAATTTTATTTTTAATCGTGAGTTAAGGCTTGAATTTACGTTCCTTCTTTGATTTTATTTCGGCTTGGCTTTTGGTCTGGTCTACTTTCTGCGAAGCAAGTTAGGATCTGGTTACATGTTTATATTGGTTGGAAGCTTTGAAATCTACTATTTTGTGAAATTGATGGAATGCAAACCTGAAAATAAATTCTAACTGGTTTTGATGGGAGATATTTCGTAGTACATGGTTTTATTGCTTTCTCCTCGGGTTGTTGATTTCTGCAGTGATGCAGTATGTAATCTTTTTGGGATTTGGCTTTTAAATCAGTTTTCATATGTACTGTTATTGTATCAATATTAAAGAATTCTCTTTTGTCATCTCCAGGTTCTTGACAGGATTTAATCGATTCAGATGATTAACGATGCGCTGTTTTGCCTGGACCATTGTGATTTATATAGCCTTGAGGTCTGATGACACCAATTTGGTTGGTTATAGTTGGAGTGTAATAGAGTGCATCCTTGGATTATTGATGCTTTCGGGTCATCAATCAGGTGGAAGACAGTATTTTATCTTCTAGTTGTGTAGGATCATTGATCCGGATATCCTATCCGTGATGATTATGTTGCCACAATTTGAAAGTACTTCAATCTGCCTAATATTTCGTAAAAGGTCAAAAAGAAGAACTAGGGTAAAAAGTTTAACAATATTTTCATACAATTAAGTCGTAGGAATAAGATCATTATCCGAATAGGGGATGGCAGAATTTTTATTTCGTTCAAGTGTTTAGCGACGATTTTCCTTTCGCCGCAAAAACATAGCGACAGTTTTTACAGTCGAAAAAGAAGTTTTATAAATCAGACACCTAAAAGTCGTCACGAAAGGTCAAAATTACATTACTAAAGAACGAAAACTGTTGGAAAATCTATAAATTCGTCATTTTAAACTCGAAAGAAGCTTTTATTTCTCATTTGTCTTTTGCTATGTATGTAATCAACATGGGGTCTGATGTTATATATATATGTAACTCCATAATGAACTCTAAGAACAGTTGTGAACCAAGTGGAGTTTTTTTAATAAAGAACAAAAGAAAAAGAAGAAAGAAATAAGGTCCACAAAGCGATAGAAATATAATCGGGAAAATCTTATTAAAATAGTGGTTACAAACAATTGAGAAATATATGGGTCATATTCTTTTTCCTTTTAGCAGATTTGTCTTTCCTTTGAAATAAAATTCCTTAAGAATATTACAAAAGTCAATTGGGAATTTTCATTAGATTTTAATTACCAATTTACCATGAAATGCGAAGTTAACTCTGCTTTTATACAGAATATGAAATATTACGATGTTCACAAATGAATATCAGATCGTTTATACAGAATGATCTATGCTCTAAGTTAAATAGGAATGTTATGACAAAGTGGCGGATCTAGCCATGTTTTGGGTAGGCAGCTGCCTACCCGAAAATGGTCAGGAAATAAAAATAGTTAGATATGAAGCAACAAGATGAAGGAAAAGAGAAAGGGAAGAAGAAGAAAAATATAGAAAAGAGAGAGAAGAAGGAATCGACACGTCAGGAAATAAAAATAGTTAGATATGAAGCAACAAGATGAAGGAAAAGAGAAAGGGAAGAAGAAAAAAATATATAGAAAAGAGAGAGAAGAAGGAATCGACAAGCCTAGGGAAAAGTGAAAATAAAAAAAAGAAGGGGGGGATAGAGGGATAAAAGTAGCAAAGAATCACATGATTATATATAAGTGGTATTGGACTCTATAATTATTTTGGATTGGATAAAATTGTTTGGACATCCAATTTCTTGAACACTAGAGTGTAGTTTTTTTAGCAATAGATTGTACTTGTTTTTACATGTATTAATCTTTTTTTTTTTAATCAAAATGCATTTGATTCATATTTTTTTCTTAAGATGATTATAACATGATGGATGCAATATTAATTTTGCTATTTATATTATTTTAATCATTGTATCGGTGCCTTGCATTTTTGGAAATTTTCTATACCGGCATATATCCGTACACATATTCATGCAACGTGTAATTTCTGCCTACTCAACTTCCAAATCCTGGATCCGCCACTGATGACAATAGAAGTCATATATATGCATGGCTCACGCTCTTAATTTTGTAAGCATCCTCCTGCTATAAAAGCAAATAGATGTTGTTGCGGGAACCAACATTTTATCTTTGTGGTTGTAATTGCAATAACAAAGTAATTTCTTACTTGAGATGAAAGGAAAAATGGTGCTTTGTTGTTTTGAATGTTTGGAACAGAATCTGATTTTTTGAAGCATATGTTAATTGTAGTATGGGCAAAACTCCATGCGTCCCAGCCCCCAAATTTTGAGAGAGATAAATATATATGTACGCAGAAATTCTCCTATGTGACCATTGAAAAAGCGACCAGACTCAATGCTACCACTGAAATTTCGAACCCTCCAAAACCTCATTATCAAGCCCTTTCACAGAACCTCCATGTCGATCTAATAACAAACTACGTACAGTACAGGCAATGCTAGATACAAATATAGCACCAATTAATCCAATGAGCAAGTTGACATTCATCATACAGATTAATATAGCCAAAATGACTTGCTAGAGATGCATCAAATATTGATTATAATTCACCTAGACCAAGGTAAAAAAAACATGTGGCACAAATCGTAGAAACAAACCGTAGCTCATTCCTTATACCTAGACTATGTTCTTCCCCTAAGCTTTTGATTACATCTCCCGCAGCTCTCGTCCTGTGCTCAGCGATGAATGCAACCGCCATTAGAGTTTGAATTTACTAGTGGGAAAGTAAACACGTCCTTGAAACTACGTAAATTCTCAGCAGAACTAGAGATTTGGGAAAATTATTTAGTGCTATATCTGAGCATGAAATGGGTATTTGAATTCTCGGAATTTGAGCTTACCCTTTGTGAATGGTCCTCAATTACAAAGGGAAGGAAAAGAACTCAGAGTGCGATTCCTGCAAGCAATTTCAATAAAATGTGGAGTGGACTGTGGAGAGATAAATGAACAATTGGTATGTTTCTGTTTGGCAGCTGAGAAAATGTATGTATAACTTACCAAGGAAAGTGTGATTGCAGATTTTGATATTTTATGAGTAGCCCTTGAGATCTAAACCGGTTTAGATATCTTGACGACGTTGTCCCAAGTGAAGACATCATTGCAGGCTGAGATTGATGCAGTACGACAAGTGACAACTTTGTGAAAAGCTTGCTAGTTGGAACGAATTGCGAATGACGTCGCAAGTGCCTTGGGGAAAGTGCGAAAAGATTTGGCGGTAAAACGGAAGGCCAGAGAGTCGACAAGTTTGTGAGAGCTGAGAAATGCCGCTGTTGCGGCCCACGAGAGCGGGTTCGAAAAAATAAAAATAAAAATTCGAAAAATCGGCCTAGGCGGGTCTTTTTGATTTTTGATTTTTTTACTTATTTAAAAAAATTTATATTTTTATAAATTCTTTTTTTTAATTGACTTTAAAGAAAACCTGAGTTTTAAAGTCTTTATTCGCTGCGGCCAAACGGTTCGTATTTTCATAACGGTTCTTTTTTTTATTTTTAAAATTAGGGTTCTCACATCCTCACTCACCACAAGGTTTCAGTCCTTTTTTTTAATTTTGGTTTTCTATGGTCCAAGTATTAAAAAATTTGTAAATTGATCATCGAGAAAACAGATATCTTTTTCGAACAATAGAAAGTCCTAAAATTACACTGTAGGGCGAATATCATTATCTAAACTGCCCAGGGGAGTGAAATGTTTTCTTTCTCTACTTTTAGCGGAGGATTTTCTAGTCGTTGAAATAAATGTTATTCTCAACGCTTAGCAGCGGTTTTGACCGTTGCTAAAGACATAACAGCGCCGCAACAGCTCCGTATTGGTCATTTTAAACAAGATTCGCTACTTTTCTGCTGATTGAAGTGTTTATGCTTCTGTTTTTTTCCTGTACAAATTTATCTTCCTTCTCTTAAGGTACTACATGCAAATTAGTAAACCATGAAAGAATAATTTAGGAGTAGTCAAAGACATCAATACCAGCTTGAGCTATTGCAAGTATATTAAAAAACACTAGATGCATCCATTGCTCCTCTCGTCTTTGATTTCTGCTGTTGGAGGAACTGGAAGCAAAAACAAAGTACTGAAAAAACTGATAATCTCAAAATGCAATTAAAGTCTGACGATACTCAGAAAACAGGTTTACATAGAGTCTAATGATCTTTCAAGTCAATTAACTAAATTTGATCACAAAGTAAAATTCATTCTTGATGTGCAACCATTTCCATGTCTGTTCTGGATGGTCAAGCCTCATCTTCTGTAGTTTTCTCTTGCAAACTCTCTGAAGGTTGCTTCTCTTTGGCCTTGGAGGCAGCAGCACTACAATTCCATAGAAGAAAGAATATGATTAATTCAAAACTTATTACCAATGGCGCAAAACATTAATCACTTTTATTTTAGAAAGATTACTAAGATTATCAATATTCTGCAATTATTGTGAGAATCAATTAAATGATAAGAAATGTGATTTACGAAGGAGCACATTATGAAATGACAAAAATGGAGTCCAAAATTAGATCGTTTGAATTTTTTTAAGCTTTTACTTTTAAAAGATGAAGCTATTTGCACGTGACATGTGTGTCGCAATTGGGAATACAAATAACAATTTCAGTTTTAATCACCTCTTATTTTCTTATCTCTTCACCCCCCACCACAAAAAAAAGAAGAAGAAGAAGAAGAAGAAGAAGATGAAGAAGATGAAAAAACTCTGAAAAATCGACCTAGGCGGCGCCTAGGCGCTAGGCGGCTCCTAGGCGGTAGGCGGGAGAACAACTCTTATTTTCTTATGATTGCTCTGTTTTGTTTTCTTCACTTGCTATATTTAATAATTTAATTCTTGTTTTTATTTTGGGCAGAGGCTAATGCGAAAGAAGCTGATAAAGTAGCCAACCAGTTGCAGTCTACTGGTATATCTTCTGGTGGAGATGGAGCTGCTTCTTCTTCAGGTAATACTGTAAATATGTGTATAGATGTATGTAGCAGTGTATGTTTGTATTTCATTACCCTTACTCTCTCTCTCTCTCTCTCTCTCTCTCTCTCTCTCTCTCGGTTGGTGATGGCACTTCAGCACCTAAGCAAGAAGAAGCCAAGCATCTTCCAGGCGAGAAGATTAAGAAAAAGGTGAGACTTTTGAAATTATTTGTTTTTGAGGATCTTTAGACTTGGTATTGGCTTTTCTGTAGGAGAGGCAAGAAGTTACTATTGAAGAGGTTATACGAAATAAGGAGAGTATAGCCGTGCTATTTCTTTACAAAAATTGGAAAACCAAGTATAGCCGCGCGGCTATACTATATCTTTAAAAAATTATAAACCAGGTATAGCCGAGCGGCTATACTATTTCTA